ATCTGTGCCCTCAATCTCGCTTTGTGCTTGGCGAATTCCAAGCTCACGGCGCGATCCTCATCATTGACAAACGCTTCCATGTCGACGTACTTCACCTTCCGCTCTTTGTCTTTCTTCGATCGTCTAGGACACGAAGAAATGAACTTCACGTCATTGGCAAATGTCACATTGCGCTTTGTCACTTTTCGGGTCGACGTAGTCGTTCCCGAGGATTCGTCATCTGTTGAACAATCCGAATCAGCGTCGCTGTCAACGGATGGACAATCTGACTCCTCCTCATCTTGTTTTGAAGATCGCTTCCATATAGCCGGAGCTGATGGATTCCACCTTCGACACAATCTGATGGCGGGTGCAGCAGGGAGTGCCTTGGCCTTGGCATTCGGCTTCGCTGGAGCTGCCTTCGCTTCGGATTTGGCTTTAGCTTTTGCCTTTGGTTCCGGAGCTGGGGTAGCTGCTGCCTCATGCTTGAAAGGACAATTCTCTCTTGAGCACGAGCCTGTGTTCTTGAACGAGTAGCAAATCCTGTTTCCTCCTCCTCCAGATGGACTTGGAGTTCTCGTCCTCGGCGTGAAGGGTCGTTCTGGAGTCTTCTTCGAGTGACTGAATGGACACTTATCGCCATTTCGACACCCTGCATCTGTGAAATGGAACTTGCAGCGGATTTGCTTCTTGCTTTTGTCACCTCTGTTGTCCGCTGACTCACTCCTCGTCTTCTTCTTGGGCTTCGGCTTGGTCTTCGCATGACTCTTCGCTTTGCTTTGAGGTAGTACAGGTGTTGCTTTGTCCGGCTTGGTCGGCGAAGCCTTGACCTTTGCGGATGGAGCTGCGTTAGGCGTAGGTTTCTCGGGTACCTTGGCCGGTGCAGCAAGCAAATCCTTGCCCTCAAGCATCTGGCGCAAGCCAATTTGAGTCTGAGTGAGATTTGACTGTTCTCGTTTCCGCATGATGGTACGATCAATGATCTTCATCAGGTTGTCGTACGATCGATCTTCATGATTGTAGGGCAAGTGTTCATAGTGCATGCCCAAGTCCATTTTCATTGCGGGCGAGTCCTTGATCTTGCTGTACAAGCAATCACGGAGAGCTGTTTTGGATGGAATGTCCTCTGGTCTCATCCGTCCCAGAACTTCCAACCACGTCTGCTTGAACGTATGAGCTTGTTGTCGCCTTGGTACTGGAGCTTCACCAAATACTCAAGAGTGATGATCATGTCGAGACGATCATGTGTTCGAAAACTTTCGTACATCATCGCGATGACTTGTCGTCCTTTGATGATCTTCACGTCAGGCCTGCTGATGTAATCGTTGGCCTTCCGGTTCACCTCGAGGTACAGGTCAGCTGATTTGTCACCACCGGCACGTAGCATTGCGACCATGGCGATCCCCAATTTGACGTCTATGCTCTTGAACTTCTTGTGTCCTGAATCATTCAATGCTTCGACATCAGGGAATGGGTTGAACGCTGGTGCCAGCCATAACATCCAGTCCTCATGATGTGGGTCGGCTGATGCCCCTAAGACATTTGCCGTGCACACAGATCGCCAGTTGTTGAGATGAGTGAGAGTAGGCCATGGAGGAACAGTAACTTTGTCGGCTTCCCTCCTGGAAATTCTCACCTCTGTAACTTCAGGATCCGCGTCTCCATCAGGATCACGCGCATGCGAACCAGGATCCGATTCGGGTTTGCCCCCTCCACCTTTCTTCTTGTCATCATCGTCGTCAGGCGGATCTGGAGGATCATACCCCGTGCCGGTACCTTCATCATGCTCTTCCTCTCCGTTCTCGTCGCCAGCTTCATCACCGTCATCGTCTCCATTGTTTTCCTGAATCGTTTCAGCGAATAATCTCCACTCATCACGATCAGCTCTGAGACGTTGTTCGGCTTTCTGAGCCTTGAGTACTTCACTTCGCAGATCAGCAATCTTCTCCTCGTACTGTTCCGCGATCTCTTTCTCGATCTGACGCCTCCTTGCCTCATGGATGGAATCGTCATAGGTGACAGGGGGACCAACGAGGTCGTTGCCCTTCGTGATGCGGTGACACCGTCGATGCCAACAGGTCTTGAGGAGCTGGCCGATGCTGTGGACTTCGATCCCAACATCCCGCGATCCCCCAAGAGTTCGCGTAGCTGTCGATCACGCACGGCTGCCGCATCACTTTTCCCATGAAATCCGCTTGGTATGCCAAACAAAGTGGCTGCACTAGGCGTGGAACGCGCAAGTGCTGGGCTGCTAATACCTGGCACGTGGTGCTCGGGCATTGCATCCGCCACGATTGGCATCGAACTGCGGCCAGTGAAGAAGTTTCCACCGGTGAATGGAATTCCGTCCATCACAAGGTTCTTGTCCTTGTCCGATTCCGAGAATGCGAACTTCTCTTTGGCGACTGGACTAACTTGACTTGGGGACCGTATTTCAGGGGATCGTACCTCATCTCCTACGGAAAATGCAGGCATTACATCCTTTCCTACGTGCTCCCAGCCAGACTCAGTAGTCCTCGAAGACATGGGCATGCTCGAAGGTCGCGTCACTCCTCCTTGATTGGAGTTTCGCGCTGCCTCCAATTCGCTGCGTGTCCTCGCTTGAAGATCTTCTTGTGCTTTGAGCGTTTTCCTGAGTTCACTCAGCTCGTCGTGCAAGGTAGGCAATGATCGCCTTGCATGATCTTCATTCTGATGAAGTCGTTCCTCTGCTTCTTGCATCCTCTTTACAGCCATTCTGCGGTACTCTTCCTCTTCACCAAGACGTTCGCGAAGCCGAAATCGTTCTTGTTCAATGGCTGCGCTGTTTCCAGCTAGCCCTTGGATCTCGTTCACAGCCCGCAACTCCTGGTTCTTGACCAAGTGGAATCGTTCCTGCATTGCTTGTAAGGCTTGTTCCGAACTTGCTGTGTTTGACCGGAGGACCAAGTTCTCTCTGGCGTGTTCATGAAGTTCATGAGTCAGACGCTCATACTCACGTGCCATAAGCTCACCATCACCTTGCGCTCTTGCCTCCAACTGCACAAAGTTGGTGGCTGCCTCCGTGCGGAACACGTGTAGCTGTTGAGCTAAATCCTCGGCAACGGCATGTGCTTGACGTTGTTGAGCAGAGTTCTGCTCATCCATGCGAAACAAAGCTGTTTCATAGTCTCGCTTCATCTCCTGATTGACATTGTTGATGTGCCTCATGGCTAAGCATGCATGATCACGTTGTCGTTCCAATTCCTCAATGCGAATTCCAGATCCTTCATCTTCTTGTTGCATCTCTTTGATCTTGTCCATCAGGGTCTGCACGATTCCTTCGTATTCTTGCACCTGACTGCGATAGTACATCTGCTGTGCAAGGTTCGATGCTTCGAACTGTTGCGAAATCGTCAGCTCCTGGTAGGCATTCGGACCGTCAGCTATTGCAGGCGTGGCCACGGATGACGCATCACCACGTACAGGAATCGTATCCAGAGTCATGTCCAGATCGTCAGTATCGCGTGGTTGATTGGTAACCATCCGATTCCAAGTCATGGACTTGTCACGCCCACGAGTAGCCGAAGTCCTCGATCGTGCTGAAGAGCTTCTCGAAGATGATGGTCTTGACTTCTTTTCCAAGGTCTTGACTCCTTTATCCTTAGCCCTGGACGTAGTCCGAGGTGCCTGAAAACCAGACGCTTCGGTCCGTCGTTCTGAAGCCTTGCCCGTCCTCGAACCTGTGGATGTCGGACGTGAAGGCGTAGATGCTCTTGGTAGACTCTTTGCTTTCCCCTTGGGAACTGCCTTTGCATGGCAAGCGCAGAAGATTGACCTTTGTCATCTTCCGTGGAGCTATCAACGGATTGCACCACTGTGTCATCAGCTGTTGACTCACCAACGGCTGGCGCTGCCACATCGGCACCGAAAGTCATTGTCGTATCTTGGCTTGATCCTGAGTTCATTGTGGTCGTAGTAGATCAAGTAGTCGTTGCTGTAGAAAGGCAGAGCCGCGTACGGCTGATAACCTGCGTGGGGGATTGATCTCGACTTGGTTGCTGCTCTCCCCACCAGAGCTGTAATGAATGTAGGTGTGGCTGGCTAGCACTCTCCACAGACTGGACCCTGTCTCTCCCTCTTACTTCCACACGTGCGATCCTATGCAGGCAGAACCGGCGGCCGTTCCTTTTGCACTCACTGCCGGCGGCGGTTCGTCTGTGCAACGGGATAGCTCTGATTGCTCAGGATAGAAGACACATATAGCACTTAGCTATGGGCATTGACTTGAGCCAAAACGTTGCGTTGGCGGTCACATAGAAAGGTAAAGATGAGGGATGCGTAGCATGCCCCCTAGAGTCGAGGGACGCGTAGCGTGCCCCCTTCTCTTGCACTTTACACGGTCTTGCTCACAGCTCTTATAGTGACTCCTTAGAACTTGACAAGGCATCGCAGTCCGTTCGGCAGTAGTAGTAGTATTAGTAGTAGTAGTAGTAAAGTTGTGTAGTAGTAGGTAGTAGTAGGAGAAGTAGTAGGAGTGGTAGTAGTAGTCGTAGTAGTAGTAGTAGTAGTAGGAGTACTAGGAGTAGTAGGAGTAGTAGCAGTGTGGTAGTACTAGTAGTAGAAGTAGTAATAGTATAACTAGTAGTAGCAGTAGTAGTACTAGTAGTCTAGTAGTACTAGAAGTAGTAGTAGTAGTAGTAGTAGTAGTAGTAGTAGTAGTAGTAGTCCTGGCAGGAGTAGCAGCAGTAATAGTTAAGTCATCTATCTTAATTGCTCGCAGCACAACTGAGTGAACAACAACAACATGTGTGCGACTAGAAGCAGGGGTGGGGATGAATGAATCGAAGATAGGGGAAGAGTTGTCATTAATGTCTAATTGGAATCATGCTGCTACCTCGTGCACATCACAGGCATTCGGGGCATGGTGGCTTGGGGGATTGACATAGGATAATTGACACCTTCGCTGTTGTCTTGCCGGCATCGAACGCTCTTACAGGGTGGGTTTTCCACGGCAAGGATGATGTTACTTTTCAACCAACCATCTTAAGTTAACTGCTAGCTCAGGATCTTGCCGTGTCCGGGAACCCTTCGTACCCTAGGCTCCAGCTGATGAGGCATTGTGCATCTTGCTGGTCATCCAAAATTGAAGGGGTGTGATTCGCTAGCAGGGCAGCACTCACGCGGGAGACTCGTGCTTGCTGATCCTCTGCCTCTTGCTTCTCCTGGAAAGCAGGACTCCCCCCGGAGACTTTTGCCTGCTGATCCTCTGCCTCTTGCTTGTCCTGCACAAGAGCACTGAGGCTGGAGACTCTTGCTCCCTGATCTCTCTGATCCTGTGCATCTTGCTTGTCCTGGAAAGCTGGCATCCCTGCAAGCACATCTTGCACCTCTTGCAAGTCTTGCTTCAGGTTGTGTACGAGATCAGCATAAGCCTCAGTCTTGCGCAAGAGGTCCTGAACCACAGCTTGGGATTCGGCGAGCATGTCCAGGAGTTCCCTTTTCTCAGCCATCAAATCGGCTGCTAAGACTCGCCACTCGAGCAGCTCTTGCTCCTGATCTTCGACGTCTTGCTCTTGCATCTCTTGCCAAGTCTCTGGGTCAATGTGCGCTTTCCGCTTCATACCGACGGACGAATGCGCCATTGCAGTCTGAGCAGTAAGGCAGGAGCGACAGCAACTTTAAGAGCGCGAGGACAGCACATGGGCTAGTTTCCCTCAGTACTTTGACAAGGTTTATCCATCAATATTGAATCAATGATCGTGGCTGTGCGCGGACCCCAAACTAGCTAGACTGAACAAAAGAACACGATCAAGCTCATTCGGGCTGCGTGAGTCTGACGCCGTGACTGACTCGGCTTGAGTAGAGGGCATGACCGGCGGCAAGAGTCAAACCTCACTCAAGTTGTCACTCTGTCGTGTTACTTACTTACTTTATTTCATCGAAAGCCGAAGAAATCATGCACCAGCACGGCCGCCTTCGCGTGCTGGAAGCACACCCTGCCCGATTCAATTCGTCCAACGACTTTAAACGAGAGCTGCTGTCCTAGACGAATTCGATGACTAACATCATTTAAGCAATGAAAGCAGGAAAGACGGAATCGGACTGCTCAGGCTGGTTCTTGCGGGACTAGCAGCAGTGATGGCAATCGGTTGCGAGAAAAAGCATCGGGAGCAGGAATTGAAGCGGAAGTGGGAGTAGGACTTAACGAAGTCTTGCTTGGAAATCGTGGTCGTGCAGTCCCCTGACACGTAACTTAACATCATCGACAGGCACGGAGCCTGCGGCAAGCGGGTTTGCGCCAAGGCGGAAAGTGAAGGTCTTGGCCTCGAGTCAGGCATGCAAGTCTGACATCAGAAGTCAAGATATGTTACACCACAAAATTTACGAGCACAGAATGCGACCGCGTAAGCAAGGCAAACTGGTGATTGATAATTGTAGTCACTGACCGTGGAACACCACTGAAATTCGACAGATTGTCTTATTGCTTCTGAGCGCCATGCTTTTGCCGCCTCTGGCCTTGGCCTGCGATAGGATGCGTTGCCACACACTGGGAATTCTCTGGCCAACTGCGGCTGTTCTTTGCTTGGGTCTTCTAGCTGCCCGTCAAACGGTATCTTGCTCATGGCAACCCCAAACCGAAACGGCAAGCCTTTCAAGTCCATCCCGAGCGAGCATTGTTGCCGATTCAGTCACTCACAATCTAGCAGCATGTACTAGGCGGGGTTCATGCCCTCTTACTTCGGTGTGAGTCGAAGCCTCTTGCAGCATCAAGTTACGAAGCAAGCATTGCATGCGCCATCCGAGATGCCAAACGCTAAATACCCAGTAGTAGAAGTTAATGGAGCTTCTTGCGCCCGGTGCAAGATACTCATGCATGGCAAGTTTTCATTACCGCTGCATGCGTTGATTTTATCTCTTGCTGATTGAGGCGACGCGTCATGTTGGCAGTTGTTTGTCAAGTTTTCGTCTCTCTGCAGCAGTAACAGACTAATAACGCTTGGTCTTGCGTCTTCAAATCGTCGGTGTCTCGTCTCAGATCGTGGTTTTCCATGTCATGTGGTTGGTGCTGCTGTCTTGGTGATGGCTAAAGCGCAGGCAGCAGCTGCATTGTTGAAGAGCGGCACTGCATGCAATAGTAGTTGTTGTGCTATTAGTCGTAGTAGTAGTAGTAGTAGTAGTAGTAGTAGTAGTAGTAGTAGTAGTAGTAGTAGTAGTAGTAGTAGTAGTAGTAGTAGTAGTAGTAGTATGTAGTAAGTAGTAGTAAGTAGTAGTAAGTAGTAGTAAGTAGTAGTAAGTAGTAGTAAGTAGTAGCAAGTAGTAGTAAGTAGTAGTAAGTA